CAGGTGTTAGACGCAAAATGGTGGCAGAAGTGTGACCGTCTTGCGACTGTTTTGAAAAATGGTGATATATTCTCATTTTTAGTCGCTAAGTCTCAGGTGTTAGATGCAAAAGGGTGGTAAACGTGTGACTGTTTTGTGACCGTTTGGTAGATGTGATCGATTATCTTGTTTAGTCGCAGAATGGTGGCAACAGTGCGACTGCTTTGTGACTGTTAGTAAAATGATGGAAAACAAGAGCTCTACTTGACTCGAACCGAGAACCTGCTTTCAAGTATGGCAAGTATGTTACCAAATTGGCTGTTTAATTAATCGTTAAATGCTTACCAAAACTAGTAAATAAACATATCAAATTGGCTGTTTAATTCTATTTTCCAAGACACACATCATCAAGCCATTTAATTAAAATATATTACAAAACACACATTAAAATTTAGTCAATTATTTTACAAATGACTTATATTTATAATTATTCTTCATCTTCACCTTCTTCTTCATCTTCATCTTCGGATGTTGATGAATTACAATGAAATTCGTCTTCTCCTTCAGCATCTTCAATATCAAAATCGATAGGTTCATCTTGATGATTTCCATCAACTAAGCTCTCAACTATAACTTCTTCAATCATGCTCGGAGGTGCCTCATCAACAGATTGTTGCAGTATAACCATATCATTTTCAGTAAACTTCCCTTGAACAACATTCCTTGGATTAACTTTGCAAATTGAAAGCCACGTTTTTCGAGGTCGTTTTGTGTTCGGGTATGAAAGATAACACACTTGATCAGCTTGAGACCCTGTACAAAGCCAAAAATTTGAAATAAAATAAGATTGTCTCTAGCAAATACTTGAAAATAGGATGAAAAATTACCTAAAATAAATGGTTCGTAATTTTGGTATCTCTTTGATTGTAGCACGTCTACAACGCCTCCATCTGAAATACGAATTCCTTTGCCAACCTTTGGGTCAAACCATTCACAGTAGAAAAGTGTGATCTTTAAGTTAACCAGTCCTGGATACTCGAGCTCGATTATCTTTTCCACGGTCCCAAAAAAATCTTCTTCGTGAGATGCTTCAGAATAATTTTGTCCTCGAACACATACCCCATAATTCATTGTCTTTCTTGTGCGCCCATGATTCCGCGTGTGAAACATATATCCTCTAGTAAAATACATGGGCCATGACTTGACTTTGTTTTCAGGACCTTCCACTAGTTCATGAACCCATGGAGGAAAATTTTGATGACTTCTCGTTGCTTCCACCTAAAATAAAAATTATATAGATTAGTAAAGATATATATTCCAATCCATGAGTCGATTTAAAGTGAGATCGTTAGTATATACGACGTACGTATTGACGAATCCATAAATGAAAATCTTCGTCTCTTTTAGAGGTGACCTCATCATCAGAGAGTTCTGGATATTCATCCCGAATTTGCGCGTCCAACATACTGTTTTCGACATGTAAAAAGATATTCTCATTAGTCGATTAATAGAGAGAACGCTCTTAAAACTAATATTATTACTTGGTAAAAATGTATGTATACCTTTCAAACGGTCGAAAATAGTCACAATTACGCAAAACATATGCATGTGCACATGTATAATCTTGCTCAGTTAACCAGAACTCACTACTTTTGCCACTTGGACGACCGACTTGTGTGAATATGTCTGGTACCGGGACAGGATATACAGGAACTTCACCTTCATCATACCGACTTGTCCTGCGAACATAAGTATATATATTAATTCATAAAATATTTGCTTTTATTAAAATAATGGTATTCTCATTATAATATAGTATGAAATACCTTCTTCTAATAGCTGTAGAAATGTGCGATGCAAAATAGTGTTCCGAGAAGTATGATATCTCATCATTCATGTACGATTGAACGATTGAACCCGCTGGATATCTTTTGTTCTTCGCCTTGCCTTTCAAACGTTTAAAAAACCTTTCGAAAGGATACATCCATCTATATTGAACTGGACCGCCAAGCTCTGCTTCGTATGGTAGGTGTACAGGTAGGTGCTCCATCACATCAAAGAAAGAAGGTGAGAATATTTTTTCCAAGTTGCACAAAATCATGACAATATTCTCCTTCAAAAGTTGGACGCGACTTAGCTCCAATGATCGAGTACTTAAATCACGGAAAAATGCTCCAATGCCTACAATACAAATAAAATAAAATTAATAGTCATATTATTTTATATATAGAGCAAACATATATTTATAAATTAAATATATTTACCTGATAATGCAAGATGTACGTTTCGCGGCAAGAGTTCTGCAAACACAAACGGAAGCAATCGTTCCATAAATACATGGCAGTCGTGACTTTTCATTCCCGAAAACTTGCCGGCATTGATATCTGCACAACTAGCTAAATCTGCTACATAGCCATCTGGAAATCTGACCTCTGATTTGACCCATTCAAGGAGACTTTTTTTTGCTTTCGCACTCAATCTCCAAATAGGAAATGGAGCTCTCCCTCGATCATCAACATGCAATTCAGGCCGATCACAAAATCTGGAAACATCTATTCTTGACTTCACAGTGTCTTTTGATTTGTCTTTCACATTCATCACAGTGTACATGACGTTATCGAGAATGTTTTTCTCAATATGCATCACATCAAGATTGTGTCGTAGATTTAGATCGGTCCAGTAAGGTAGCTCCCACAGTATGCTTTCTTTGTGCCAATTATGCCAATCTCCATACCCATCCACTTTATTTTCATGCCCATTTCCTCCGCAGTCAGATGTCTTAGGCGGCTCGGCAGTCTTTATACGCTCATATAAGACTTGTTCACCAGTCAACGATGCAGGTGGATACTCGTGCACTGCATTTTTACCCTTCACAAAGTGCTTTTTGTCCTTCCGTAACGGATGGTTTAGAGGAAGAAATCTTCTGTGGCAATCAAACCAACATGTCTTCCGACCACCTGGCAACCAAAATGATTTTGTATCCTCCATACAAATTGGGCACGATATTCTTCCATGTGTAGTCCATCCTGATAACATGCCATATGCTGGAAAATCGCTAATAGTCCACAAAAGGACGACTTTAAGTATGAAATTTTGATCACAAGACACATCGTATGCCTCAACTCCGTTATGCCATAACTCTTTCAACTCCTCGATCAGTGGTTGGAGGAAAACATCAAGACTGGCTCGTGGATGATTTGGTCCCGAATTCAAAATTGTAAGAAACAAATACTCACTGTTCATGCACATATCAGGAGGCAAGTTGTATGGAGTCAAGATCACGGGCCACAACGAATGATTTTTGGACATGCCAAAAGGATTGAAACCGTCAGTACATAATCCAAGATAAACATTTCGCGGTTCTTCTGAAAATGAGGGATGGAATTGCTGGAAATTCTTCCACTCAGCCGCATCTGATGGATGACACATTAATCCCGCTTCCGATTCATGCTCAGCATGCCATCTCATCGAAGCTGCAGTCTTTTGAGATTGATACATTCTCTTCAATCTGTCCCCAATCGGTAAATACCACATCTTACTATATGGTATTCTTGTTCTTCCTTCACTCTCCTTGTATCTTGGTTTTCCGCAGAACTTGCAATTCCCAAACTTCTCATCATCTTTCCAAAACAACATACAATTATCTATACATACATCATATGTATAGTACGGCAATCCTAGCTTTCGCATCAAAGTCTCTGTCTCGTAGTAGGAACCGGTCGCCTGATTACCCTCTGGTAAATATTCTGTAAACAATTCTGCCCATCCGTCCATGCAAGTTTCAGACAAATTGTAGTCCACCTTATTGTTCATGAACCGAGCTGCCAACGATAATTGCGATTGACCTTCCCGACATCCATCGTAAAGTGGAGTGTTTGCGGCAGCTAGCATGTCATAAAATCGTTTTGCTTCTTGGGTGGGTTCTTCATGAACATGATCGTTTCCACTTTGATCATGTTCATTATATTCGTTATATGGTACAGAACCATGAAATGCATCATTAACCATCCCAGCATATACATTTTCCCCATCATTAGCCATCCCAGCATATACATTCTCCCCATCAAATCCTATTGGTTCATGCGTACCACTAGTATAATTGGTATTATCAGCATATTCATGATGACTACTAGTTCCCTCCCCAACAACATTATAATCTTCACCATGTTCATACCATACATAATAATTCGCCATAAACCCCCTACTAAGCAAATGACTCGAAATTGTGGCAGCTTTCATGCGTTTAGAATTTTGACAGACTACACAAGGACAATAAAACCGACCTTTTCTGTCTTCAACGTGAGAGCTCGCAAAATCGATGAACTGTTCCACACCCGCCAAATACTCCCCCGAAACATGACTAGTGTATGGATCGATTCGGTTGTACATCCATTCGCGTGATGGATTATTCCACATCGTTTTTTTTCTCTCTTTTATTTTTTCTTTTTTTTTTCTTTTTTTTTTCTCTCCTTCTTTTTTTCTTTCTTTCTCCTTACATTTTTTCTCTTAATTTGAAGTTGGATGGAATGAGAAATAAAATGACGAAGGCCTTGTATATATAGTGAAGATTTTGTGACTCTTTTGTGACTGAATGTTGAGGAGTCACAAAGTTTGGTACACCTAACTCTATCGCATTTTTCACATTGTGCCAACTTTTGTAACTCTTTTGCGACCGATTTCAAATAATTCACAAAATTCAGTACACCTAACTTTTTCGTATTTTTCACGTTTTTTGTACCTACTTTTTGTGACTAATTTACTACTAAACCGTGATCGAAGGATGTAGTTGCAAAAACGTCGCTAAATTGGGACTGCTGTGCGACTGATTTTTCTGACTACATATTAGGTCGCTAAGTGGTCTCATAGTGCGACGTTTTTGCGACCAAATAAATAGAATGGCAAAATAGTCGGATATGAGTCGCTAAATTGAGATTGTTTTCCGACTAGGTGTTTCCGTCGCTAATTAGCGACTATTTTCCATCTGCTTGGATTGTAGTCGTTTAAGAGTCGCATATCAATTACAAAATAGTCGCTCTTTTTTGCGACCAAATAAATAGTCACAACAAGGAGTCCCAAATTGCAGGTTTTCTTGTAGTACTTGCTATCATCTTGCTATACTTCATCCCGAAATCAACTGTTGCATAAGCATGTTTCTTGGCAAGAGTGATTAAACAAAACCAGAGGTTTAAATGCTGAACCGATGCAGCATCTCCAATGGTATAGAAGTCACTAAATGAACCATTAGCAAGAGGAGCTATCACTTGCAATCCTCCTAAGTTCATCAACATTATGAAATCTACATCACAAGCCAGAGATTCTAAGAGCATAATGCAACTACAGACCAAGTCAGTGAATCTGTGGGAGGAACAAAAGGTGAAATAACTCTCAGGTGGCCGTGGAAGATATCCGTAGAGCAGCATAAGCTCTACCTTCAAATCTAACCATGAATGGTCTCCAAATATCTTGTCATTGACAAGAATCATTCCCGTTGAAGCAATAAGCTCAACCAAACCAGGAAACAACATATCTAAATCTATCTCAAAATCAGTCATGAGATCATTCACAATCACAGAAGTTGATCGCATTAGATCCGAAGAAAAATCTTCAGAAATGAAATAGTTCCAAGCATACAAGCTTGCTTTACCAGCGCAACGCCCAACCTTGTGAGCAATCACCATCGAAGCAGCTGTAGAACGATCAGTGGAACAACCGAGAGATATCCGGAATCGATCCGGTTGAATGAACGAACGCGATTGGACTAGATCCAGAGATCCCGCAGATGTGACAGCTCGCGATGCTCCAGAGGCCTGATTGACAACAACTGGAGGAGAAATCGGAGTCGAATCTGTCGAAGCGGTGGATCGAGTCGATTTTCGCACAACTAATTCATTGAAGAAAGGCGTATGGACTGAAACCGGAGAATCTGCATCAACGGAGCTACGCGAAGCTAGAATCACCGGATTTGACTTCACCGGAATAGCTTTCTGAGCTGAAATTGTTGAAGCAGTGGATCCAATCGATTGACGCATAAATTTCTTCAGAGAAACCATCGCAAGAGGAAATCAATCGGTAAAATATATGATTGGGCTCTGCTATGGCAGAATCAAGCGGAAGATGAGCTCGATGGCTCTGATACCATATTAGAAGAATTTGAGAATTGATGTTGAACAGAAACTAAAGCTCTCATGAAGAAGACGACGATAAGCTCGAGAGAATAATATGGAAATTATAATTGTTTCTGTTGAGTGTAAAATGTGATGTACAAAGTGTTTATATACACGATTATAAACTATCAGGTACAAACCGGTTCACTAAACCAAAATCAAATGTGTAAACCACATTATCATCTCTAATAATTTGAATGTAGTTTCCATATTTTGGGGTCTATTTTAGTAAAATGAATAATTTTGTTGATGAGCCTGAAGACAAAATAATGTCAGTGTGGTTAGTTGTTATGAGAAATATGTTAAGAACTATTACCAAGTTCATATCTTCAAAAAAAAAAAAAATTAACATAGAAAGTTCATGTCTTGACAACTGATATTTTGGTGGTTTAATCTTGATTGAATATTTTTAGGCTTAGAAATTAGAACTCTTAAATTTAAAGACATGCAATTTTTTTTAGTGAATTGAATATAAACCTAACAAGTCCTCTTTTAACTAATTAACTTTAGATATCATTCACATATTTTCCATAGTTCTCTTTTTTTTTTCGTCGAAAGAGGAATTATATTAATCTAAAAAATCATGATACAATTGTTCGGTTAACCAAAACCAAACCGGAGGGTACAAATTATCAGCAAAGAAATCAGAATTTATACAACCATATTTAGCTAAACAATGAGCGGCCTTATTACAATTCCTTTTAGCAAAAACAAACTTGATATTAAGAAAACGTGTAGTCCATAGGAAAATATCCTGGCATACGCCATCAATTGAGATATCATACCCTATTGATTATTTTGCTGAGTGTCTCACAATCGCCTTCAAATATTATTGTTGTTATCCCTCTGATCCAAGCATGTTGCATCGCCGTTAGTAAAGCTTTTGCTTCTGCCTCCAATGGCGAAGTTGTTGTCCCTAGACGAGAAGCTCCCCATCCTTTTGCAAATCCGTTGTGGTCTCGCAAGATCCATCCTCCCGTTGTTTGGTATGTTAAAGGGTCGAAACTTGCATCATAGTTGCATTTGATGATGGCTGCAGGAGGTCGTTGCCACCTCTAGTCCATTTGTTGTACTGTTCGTGGTTGCTCTTGCGGACGATCATCTTGGATATTGGTAATCCATTCTCTTACTTCTACTTGTGATTGTAGAACTATATTAGTGGGACTTTACCTCACTTTATTGAAAATATAATTGTTTCTAGATTTCCAAATACGCCATAAAAGCCACATTGGTAATAGTTTCTGGTCACTTGTAAGCCCCTGCATTTTTTGTAAACCAAGGATACTTAAAAGATTAATATCACTGTCTGGAGATGGTGATTGTATAGAGCTGATCCCGATGTTCGATAGTCGCCATATCATGGTAGCATACGGGCAAGTAAAAAGAACATGGTTGATCGTTTCATTTTCCCTGCAGCATCTGGGACATCTTGGATCAAGTTTCATTCCTAGAGCATTCAGCCGTGTAGTAGTTGGTAAAGCTTTAGATAAATCTCTCCATATGAAGTGCTTGATTTTGGGTAATGTTGACAATTTCCATATGGAGGTTTTCATTGTAACAGAACCGTACGGAGCGTCAGGTCGTAGTCCTATATATTGAGGTTCATGTGTTGATAACCAATAACCCGAGCGTACGGAATATTCTCCCGATTTATTGTAGTGCCAAACGAGTTTGTCTGGTAATAATGTTTGGGGAAGATGAATTTGTTTGAGCAAATTATGATCCTCTTGGTTTACATGAGTGGAAATCAAATTGTCATTCCAGAATCTATATGAACCTGTAATAGAGATGAATTCCGTGATGTATGGATGTGAATTGATGTCTCTGCTTCGAATCGGTTTGGGTGGATGATGTGGAGTGATGTTGTCTAGGCCTAGGCGCGCAGTTTTTCCATCCTCAATGATGTATCTAGATCCTTTTTTAATGATATCAAGTCCTGCTAGTATTGATGCCCATCCGTATGATTGGTTAGTTCGTTTTTTCGCGTTTATAAGTTCATCGTCACGGAAATATCGGGCTTTCATAAGTCGAGCAAATAGTGAATGCGAGTGCTTGATTATCCGCCAGGCTTGCTTGGCAAGTTAAGCATCGTTGAATTTTGCAAGATCTTTAAATCCTAAACCTTCTTCCTTTTGCAAAAATTTTCCATAGTTTTTTTAATTAATATTTATCTTGAATGTAGCTTTCATAACCTGAATAAAAAAAAAACACGTTAATTCATTGTACTTGTAACAAAATTAAAAAACTTATTGTACTTGACGTAGTACACATCATTTGACCAATAAGAAATTCAAGAAAATCCAAAAAAATGAAACAAAACAACCATTAAAGTTTAAACCCCTTAATTTTTCGTTTTGCACTTTGCACAGCCACCAGTGAGGCTATGATCCTCTACAGTACAGATAAGATAATTATCGTGCTCCACAAAAATATCAGCCGTTGATAGACTACTGTGTGGGAAATCCTACGGTCATCATTAATTAAAGAAAAAAAAAGCTGGAAACAACAGAGACGTAAAAAGGAGAAGCCAAAATACGTCTCTTCATCAATCTCAATATCTCATGGTTTAGGAAAACAAAAAAAAAAATACTAAAAAACGAAAAAAGTGTTCTTTGATCAAAACAATCATTCATTTACTCATCATCATCAGGCCCTTGTGTTCTCTGAGTCAAGTAAGATTCTTTTCGACTATTCTATTTACTTTTTGATTTGGGTTTTATCATTCTTAATCTGGGTTTTACTTTAAACTTCGAATTAAGGACTTGATTAGCTGATTTGGGTTTGATTTTTTGTTATTTGATGCGAAAGTTTTCAGCTTTTAGTTTCTCTTATCCTAATTTATCAACCCTTCACTTTTTCTGTAATTTGATTTGAAGTAATGCGTAAAGTTATCAAATTTTCTATCAAAAGTTCTGATTTTTATGTTGACTTTGTGATGACGGTTTATGTTAAACCCATTTAGCTTTGGATCCTAGAAATTGTCTTTATGATTGTAAAGTTTTTGTTTTTAGTGAATTTTGATTCTGATTCTATTGTGTACCTTGAGTTTTTCAATATTGATGGCTCTTTTTTCTTACACGTCTCTTTGGTTTCATCAAAAGCCATATTTAACTTTGCCAAAGTGGACGTAAATTTCATTCTCTGAGTACTGATTCCATATCTTATGTAATGTCCTTTCACTATCCACATGTAGATTCTCTCCATGTTTGATTTCTCTTGCTTCAAAGCTGAAACAGGTTTAGAGTAGAGTTTGTGATCTAAAGCAAAACAAAAAAGTTAGGAATATTCTTGAGAGATTGTTTTTTTGACTGTGGAAAAAGATAGTATCGAAATTAGTGGAGGAATTGATTCAATGGTTCATCTCCTTTGCATAGAGTTATATTCTGTATATTAACTTTCCGAATGTGAGTCTCATTTCTCGTTTCAGTCATTTGCAAAGCTCTGAATTAGGATACTGTGTGGTGTTTTGCAAAACTTCTCTTGTGTTATGACTCTGGCTAATGATTTCGGATATTCAACCGCTATGTCTTCATCTTTTTCAGCTCTTCATACTACTGTAGAAGACAGATACCGCAAGTTGCCTAACTCTTTTTGGGTTTCATCAGGTCAGGAACTGATGAATAACCCTGTACCCTGTCAGTCTGTCTCTGGTGGAAATTCTGGTGGGTATTTGTTTCCTTCTCCCTCTGGATTCTGCAATGTTTCAGCTGTCTCGCCTCATGGAAGGAATTCGCAAAACCAGCCACCTGTTTCCATCGTTCCAAGAGAAAGATTGGCTATGCAGGATTGCCCTTTGGAAGCTCAACCCCCCTTGTTGATTAATCATCACCATCAAGAGTTCACAGATCCGCTTCCGGAGTTCTTTGATTTCTCTGATCATGTTCCTGTTCAGAATCTACAAGCAGAGAGCAGCGGAGTAAGGGTGGACTCATCCGTGGAACTCCATAAGAAAAGCGAATGGCAAGAGTGGGCAGATCAGTTGATTTCTGTTGACGATGGTTCAGAGCCAAATTGGTCTGAACTTCTTGGAGATCCAAGTTCCCACAATCCAAATTCTGAGGTACAGTTTCTCTAGCCATATATGATCTCTATGTTTGTTGGTTGTCCATATCTCATTTAATCAGTGTTTTGCATAATTGGGTGACAGATACCTACACCATTTTTGGATGTTCGAAGGCAAGAGATAAAAGCCAACCAGCAGCAACAGGTGGGTTCATCAGAGGACCAGCTCAGTGGCAAAAACTCATCATCTAGTGTAGCAACATCTAAACAACGCATGCGTTGGACACCAGAACTTCACGAGGCATTCGTTGAAGCTGTTAATCAGCTCGGTGGTAGTGAACGTACGTAAGCCTTCTCCTTCTCTTGTTCCTGAAAATAATTGCTCAAGGCTGTTAATTGTAACGGTGGAACTGATTGTTCAATAATTTCGATCATAGGAGCCACACCTAAAGCTGTTTTGAAGCTCTTGAATATCCCTGGCTTGACCATTTATCATGTAAAAAGCCATTTGCAGGTGTGTTCTTATCCATATGCTTTTTTGTTTTTGCATCCCATACTGTTTCTCTGCTAAGCTTAGCTAATTTCTCATTTCTTACCGTCTTTCCGTTGAACTCTTTGTCTACAGAAATACAGAACGGCAAGATATAAACCGGATACTTCGGAAGTTACAGGTAAGGACTTCATGTACTTTAACATAATACTACTCTACATTTTCTACGCTATAAACCACATATGCCTTTAAAGAATTGGTCACTCTCTAGAAAAACCTAAACTGTCGACAAATAGCTTACGAATGGACACATATGTTTGTATAAATTTGTTTCTTTCTTGCACAGGAGAACCTCAAGAGAAGAAAATGACATCTATTGAAGATATCAAATCTCTTGACATGAAAACGTAAGAACCTTTCTTCGCATTCTTCAGAATTTTTATTCTAATAGGATTAAACACTTGTATGTATTTCTTACTAGATGATTTTGTTACTATTTCTTTTCCAGGAGCGTTGAAATCACACAAGCTCTACGGTTACAGATGGAAGTGCAGAAACGTCTCCATGAGCAGCTCGAGGTAATGATATTACATGCCTAAATGTTAAAAAACTATCCTTCATTACCTGATTTGAGCTTAGATAGAGTAGTAGTCGTAAATATCATGAACATTATCTGATTTTGTCTAAATTATATGCCAGATTCAACGGTCACTGCAGTTACAGATTGAAAAACAGGGCCGATACCTACAGATGATGTTCGAGAAACAACAAAAGATACAAGAGAACAAGAGCTCTTCCCCAGAAGCATCACCAAAGCAATGCAACGGTACATCAGCAGAAGTCGAAGTTGGTCTTGAGACACGAACAGGGGACCAAAATGAACCTGCTTCAGCATCAAGGAAACGTGTCAGAGAAGATTAAAAGAAGTTTAATTTGATCTCGTTGGCGAAACATGTTTATTGGGAATTAATTGTGGAAACCCAAAAACTCCAGTTTTGTTAAAAGAATCTGTTTCTTTCCTAGCTTTGTGTTTAGTTCAGTTTAGAAACAGTTGCTTTGAAGGCCCTGCAACACTAACTAAAGACCAAGTACTGAAGATGATTGCTTGTGTTTTCGTGTACATAAAACTCTGTATTTGATTTGGCCCTGCAAGGCTGCAAACACTAACTAAAGACCAATTGGTGTATATATGATAAATTGATTTTGAAACCCAGACCGGACACCCGCTTGGCATTTTCATCGGGCCGCTGGTTGGACCGGTCCAATTAGTTGGTCCGGGTTCATTTTTCTTATTTTGACTCTTATAAAAATACATGTGAACTAGATTTTAACCCGCGGTACACCGTGTGATGATTTATTTTTAAAATTAGTATAAGAATATTTTGTAAATTGTATCTCTTTATAAAATATTTATTTTTATTATAGTTTACAATTGTTATTAAGTAACGGTATACCACGAGTCCACGAGACAATTGTTAATAAACTGAGGATTTAACTCGTATTAAAGCGGCATGTTAATGATATTTATAAATATTGATTCAAATTTGTCCGCCATATAAATCCGTTCCAAAATATAACTCGTTCCGTAATTTCTTAACCCGTCCCGTGATTTATTTTTATTTTAAAATTTAATGATTATTTATTATATATAAAAGCTTACAAATCATATCATTCTCTAAGACATTTATATTTTAATAAACTGAAGATTTAATCTGTATTAAAGCGGCATGTTAATGATATTTTAAAATTTTATAAATATTGATTCAAACTCGTCCACCATATAACTTAGTTCCAAAATATAACCCGTCCTGTAACTTCTTAACCCGTCCCGTGATTTGTTTTCTAAAAGTAGTAATTTTTAAAATTTAACAATTATTTATTATATATAAAAGTTTGCTAATTTTATAATTTTTTAAGATATTTATATTTTATAGTTTACAATTGTTATTAAGTAACATTATACCACGGGACAATTTTTGGTTTTATACAATCTTTTCTAAATGAGACTGATTTAATATGTCTAATATTGGTGGTATTAAAAATTAAGGATTTAATCCGTATTGAAGCGGCGGATTAATGATATTTTAATCTTTTTATTATTGTTGATTCAAAAACCCGTTCCGCCAAACCCGTCCCGTCAAAAAACTCATTTATTTTATTAGTGTTGATCTTTTTTATGATATGATTCTGAATCATTGTCTAAATATTTTAATCGATGTAGAACGTTGAACACACATTTTCGTCATTTGGATAATATATGTCCGTTTTTAAAATTTCGAATCACAATATATGCAGAAAAAAAAATTGATTTTTTTTTTACATATGTATTATACGATGATTCAAAACAGTTAAAAACAAATCAAACAAAGATGATAGGAGAATCATAATTCTAAATCTTAATCAAATCTTCTAAATATCTAAATTATTAAATATAGAATATCCGGTGTATGAGTTGGGTTTTATTTAACCCGATCCAAGTATTTTTTTGTGAGGGAATTTATAAAACGGGTCGGATATCCGATTAACCCATAAGCATTTTTACCCACCCGTCACCAAAGTGTTGCAAAAATACTAGTATAGATATAATTGGGTTGGTTGTATCAAATTCAATTATGATGGAACTTTTGTCAATCCATATCCCGGCTAGAGCAAATGCAATTACGATGGATCGACCAAATCCATCATAATTGTCTAGATTGTTGAAAAAAGTGGATAATTATCCATTTATTTATTTTTCTCCAAGTCACTTCTTCCCCAAACTATTCTATCTTTGATCTTATTCAAACTAAAACTTTTCCTACATATATGTTGTTTTGTTTATCGTAATAACGTGAAGAAGAGTAAGATAAGAAAAGTGAGTGGAGAGAGAAGTTGATAATAGCAAAAGAGAGTGTTGTTGTTTTCTCGTTTCCAAAACTCTCCATCTCTCTTTCTTTATAACAATGTACTAGGGATTGGCTCGCGGTACACTGCGGGTAATTTTTTTCTAAAATTTATAATTTATAATTTTTGTTTAATTATGTATTATATATATAGAAATTTGCAAATTGTATCATTTTAAAAATATTTATAATTTATAGTTTACAATTGTCAAAAAGTAACAGTATACTGCGGAACAATTTTTGTTTTATATAATCTTAACTAAATTAGACTGATTCGATATGTCTAATATTACATATCTTCCAAAATAATAAAATGAGGATTTAACTCGTCTTGAAGGGACGGGTTAATGATATTTTAAAATTTTATTAATTTTGATTCAAACCGTCCCGAACATATAACTCTGCCCCGCCATATGATTTCTTCCCGTAATATAACCCGTCATGTGTTAGTTTAAAATGTTGATGTGTTCAAATATTTATAATATTATAAAAAATTTATTGATTTTGAATATATAAATTATAATATTTGTTTTTTAAAAAAAATTATAAGGAATTTTTGAATTCCGATTGTTAATAGTATAATAAATTTCTTCAAATTCGTTGGTATGCATAATTGTTTGGACGATTTTTTGTTGATAATATAGGAGAATATATGGTAAACGATTTTGAATTGAAAATCTTAATTTAAATAGAGTATGAATGATTATTGTCGAGATATGAAAGATTGTCTCCAGATTTTTGGCAAACAAATTAGATTTACATATATTTAACTAAAAAAACAAATCTTAAGAATTAATGTCAGTGGCATACATTGTAAATAAGTGCCAATTCGAGGATTTATTTCAAAAATGTCTCCAAAAATATATATATATATATATATAAGATATGAGTATACATATATATATATATATATATATATATATATACTATGTTTGACAAAAAAAACATATATATACTATTATATATATGTTTTGAGTTATTATTTATAACACGTTATCATCACGATTTCTTTACCGTTAGAACGTTTACAGGGTAAGTTATAATTTCTATTATTTAAATTCATTGATGTTTGTAGAACAGAAATATTATAGACATCGTGAGACTATGCATTTTTCCGATTTGATCGTTATAAATGGTAGGCTCTGCATTCTTTATGATCAAATAAAAAGCTATGTCTTTTCTGGATAGATCGTTATATATGGTAGGCTATGCCTCCTTTACGATCAAATAAATGGCTATGCTTTTTCCGGATCGATCGTCATATGGTAGGTTTACCTTCCTAACGATCCAATGAAAATTTATATTTTTTCCGGATTGATCGATATATATGGTAGGCTCTGCCTCCTTCTCTACGATCAAACAAAAGCTATCCCTATTGAATTCTTAATGGAAGGCGATGCCTCCTGAATTCTTGTCTGAAAAGGCTTTGGTCTCTATATTTAATTTTATGAATTTATGTGTTTAATTATTGAGAAATTGTTAAAAATGCCCCTTTTTCAATACCCCTTTTCAAAAATGCCCCCTTTGAGAGTCCATTTTTAAGTTTGCCCTCTTTTAATTTTTAATGACCATTTTACCCTTATTTGAAACAAAATTAGGTCCACAAAATACAAAATATTTTTTGGCGGGAAAAGTGATCCCGCAATTTTCCCGCCAAAACACTTGTAAAAAACCTTTAAAATACCTTGTAAAATTTTCCCGTAAAATTTTTTCCCGCCAAAATTTTTTTTTTGCGGGAAAAGTGATTCCGCGATTTTTTTTTTTTTTGGCGGGAAAATTTTTGGCGGAAAAAATTTACAAGGTATTTTAAAGGTTTTACAGAGTATTTACAAGTGTTTTGTAAGGTTTTACAATGTATTTTAAAAGGTTTTACAAGGTACTTATAAGGTTTTATAAGGTATTTATAACTTGTAAAACCTTATAAAAAACTTGTAAAACCTTATAACTTGTAAAAACCTTATAAAATAGCTTGTAAAATCTTATAATATCTTATAAATACCTTGTAAATACGTTGTAAAACCTTTTAAAATACATTGTAAAACCTTATAAATACCTTGTAAAAAACCTTTAAAATACCTTGTAAATTTTTGGCGGAAAAAATTTTCCCGCCAAAAATTTAACGCCAAAAAAATTGCGGAATCACTTTTCCCGCAAAAAAAATTTTTTGGCGGGAAAATTTTTTGGCGGGAAAAAATTTTACGGGAAAATTTTACAAGGTTTTTAAAAGGTTTTTTACAAGTTTTTACAAGTGTTTTGGCGGGAAAAATTGCGGGATCACTTTTCCCGCCAAAAAATATTTGTATTTTGTGGACCTAATTTTGTTATTTTCCTTATATATTTGTGATATCTTTTATTAAAAGAAGGGTAATTTAGTCATTTTGTACATAAAAAGGGGTATTTTTTAAAAATGGACAGCCAATGGGCATTTTTGAAAAGGGGTATTAAAAAAGGGGCATTTTTGTGAGTCTCCCTTAATTATTTTTATTTATTATATTCGTAAAGAACAATGTGTTATATGAGATTGAAAGACTTTGAAATATGTCCTTAAAATCAAAAATAAATTTCTCTTATGATGTGTCAATATATTTTTAGACAGTGCAAAATAATTGGTAGGTCTAGATGGGTTCGGGTCCTTTCAGTCTTCGTGCGAAAAAGTTGAAATCACACGATATAACGTCCGACTTGTTACACAAGTTTTTTCTCAAAGACTTGGAGTTGATTATGAAAAAACATATTCTCTGGTCATAGATGCAATTATATTCAGGTACTTAATGAGCTTAACGGTCTCTAATAATTTAGAAATGTAACTTATGGGTATAGTGAAAACATATTTATATGGATCATTGGATAACGAGATACACATAGGAATCCTAAGAAGGATTTAAAGTTCCAGAAGCATTAGACTCAAAGTCTAATAAAATATGTGTGGTCAAATTACAGCGATCACTTTACGGATTAAAATAATTCGGACACATGTGGTATATCACTTAAGTGATTATTTGTTAAAGAACGGGTATATCTGTTAATAACGATATAAGCCATTTGCGTCTTTATTAAGATATCTCTATTGAGATTTGTGATCATTGCTGTATATATTGATGACGTAAATTGGAACTCAAAAAGAGTGATTAAATATCACTTAAAATTTATGTAAAGAAAGAAAAACTTATTCAAGCACTGCATGCATCCGTCCACATTTCAGAGGTAACAATTAATTTTTGAATTTATTGCAGTTTATTTAAATTCATTACTTGCAATTGTTTTTTTTTTTACACTCGGTCATGTAAATAGTATTGGTGAAATGAAAACTTGTGATGTTTCTAACAAGCCTACAAAAAAAAATGTAGTTTGAACTTAGAGATCCTAAAGTATTTTTTTATCTTTCATGTGTTTAAATTAGTAAGTATTTTATATTGTAGTGGTGAATATTTACCATGTACTATATAGGGGAGATCTCTCATAATGCTGGTAATGAGGTGGTGGTGTGTATAATTTGCCTCTCCAGAATCAATACATTATACATGGAAAGGTATATTATCCTTTGTAAAAGAGATTATCCCTGTTTAAAATGTATAGATATTTATTCTAACTCTTTAATTGATTTACAAGTAAAAGATCAATATCAAACTCCTTTGACATGTCTCTATTGGAGATCAAACCTAATTCATGTGGCTAGAGAGTTTTTCTCCATGTATCTAAAAATGTCGACGGATGAATCCATTTTTTTCGGTTTTTTGGTTAAGTTTCTAATTAATTATTTCTATTTGGACAAGCAATAATGACTTTGATGTCAATTTATTTGGTTTTCATATTTTTAAGATTCCAGTTTCCTATTAATAAAGGTTCCAGTTTGCTATTAATAAAAATTTGTTTTTCAATTAATTTCATTTTTTTGAATTCTACAATTTTCTTTGTACATATTATTATAATATATACACTACAATATATATCACTAAAACAAAACAAAAAACTATATTGAATGTAATTTTATACAACACATTTTTTTATATATGAAATCCCGCACGTACGTGCGGGTCATGATCTAGTTTCGATATAAATAACACCAATTGCCAATATTGGTTATTAACATTAGTACAATTTTGTTGACATTATTATTTGTACATATACTTTTTTGTTTTTCAATTAATATATAAGGAATATTGGATTTGGGGGACATCCTAAACTTTTCATTGGTGAAGAAACATAAAAAAAATCACTACATTCAAAAAAGAAATAAAACTAAGAAGAGGAGTCTGGTTTTGTACATAGTATAACCAAGAAAGTTACCAGAACCGATCTTTATTGACACTGAGATAACCAGACATGACTTTCCCACCGGTATTCCTCATACCGTCAATGAGGAAACACCAAGTAGAACCCAATGCTCCAACAAAAAAATCAGCTTCTGACGCCATTAAGAAGTTAACAAGAGGATAGTTCGTGCTTGTCTCTCTCCCAAGGCTCGCTTCATACTCAGCCATCGACTTATTACCAACTTGTCTCGCCACTTCCGTGTAATAGAATCTCCAGTGACGATAATCTTTACTTTTGTCCACAACTTCCTTCATCTCCGTAGACAGCCAAATCTTGTTGAGCTCCGGAAATCGATCTTTGATCCGATCAGCTAAACGCATGTACTCTTCTAAAGCCGCGACTCTCATCTCACACGCTTTGTCTCCCATCCGTACGTGCACACTCAACATTGGCCTTGGAATCCACGGCTTGTGATTGGACCATACTTGTTCTTCAATCTCTGTCCTAATCTTTTGCTTTTTGTTCTTTCTCCAATCTCCAGCTGATATAACAATCTCGGCAGCTTCTTTTCCAAACGCCGTGTTTCGAGCAGCGTTCATCAAACCGCAAGTGTATTCGGTTTGAAATCTCATCAAGTATCTCACTGCTTGTGCTCTCCACCATCTCCGATCCATTTTCCGGTGTCTAGAGATTAAACTTCCGTTGATATCTGTAGTGGGCTTCATATAATTCCATGGCTTACCCCATAGCTTTGGTATAGGCCCACCCCAAATCACCTTTGAGCTGTAGTTTTGTTTCCCTGTAACAATACCACTCTCCCACGCTTCTCTCTTCCTCGCAACCGCAAACGCACGTTTCCGACACTCTTCAGATGTTTCAGGTAGAAAATAGCATGACCAGCTTCCACGAGAAGAACCTGAAACCAAACATATAAATTCCAAGAATTTGGTTCTTTTTAGCGCAAAAATCAAAAACAAGAAAATATCACTATGAATATGATGGTTGACTTTGCTACTGGTTCCAAATCTGTAGCTCTAAGTTTTTCAAATTAAGTTTTTTTTAACATGTAAATATGTTATAATTCCTTCTAAACTTCTTTGCCCACTAGGAAGCATCTAGTTGTAAAACTATTTTGCTTTGAATATAATTTTACATTCATACAAAAAAAAGTTACTAAGACGGATAATAATAACAGATTAGCTAATGGGTTAGCTTAGTAAGGCATATTGAAAAGGAAAAAAAAAACATTGTGTACCTTTGCAACCATCATGATCTGCTCGGTTGTAGTAATTTGCAACGAGCACTCGGTTTTCGTTTATAGAGATTGCGAGAAGACCAGTCATTGCAGTGATCTGAGCTCCAGATCCATATATAGAAAGTGTTTCCCAATCAGCTACAAGGAACTTGACAGTCTCGTTTTTGCAGTCCAAAGGATGTTGATGAGTCCATATCTCACTTTGCACTATCCTTGTTAATGGATAGTTCTCTTCGTCTCCTCCACTGATCTGAAACAAGGTTGTTTTTAATCAGTCATTATAGTTATTGCTTGATGACAAAGAAGAATAAGAAGCATACCCAAGTAGGAAACGTCTGATTCGCTATCCGTGTATCTAAACGCTCCCTAACTCGCGATATCAACTCACAATTCTCCAAATGTGGAGCGTTTGGTACATCGGATTTGTTCATCTCTAGTTTCTTCAAGAAGTCTTCATTGTTTAGTAATAAGTTGTCCCAAGCAGAGACCAAAGTTTTACTTGATCATCATTATCTTCTGTCTCAGCTTTGTTCGTCCATTTCAATTTCCGGTCTATGCTTGAAACCATATCTACATATGACATATCAACAATTTTCATTGCACTTTAAATAAAACAGAACACTTTACTAAAAAATGAAATCCTTGAGACTTACTGATAATGTGAGAGTTGGAATTGTAAGGAAGAAAAGCAGAGGAGGAGGCAGAGAAAGAGAAGGCAGCGAGCTCGAAGGTGCCAAGGGAAGTGAGAGCAGCTAAGAAGAGTGAAGTGAGACAGATTCCACATAGAATCCCAACTACACAAATTTGACATGGAAATGAATTTCCAAGCTTTAATGCTTTCTCTGAAACCAATCTGTTCAATGACTTCATTACTACTCTATTTTCTAACTAAGAACCAAACCTACTTGTTGGTACATAAACCTATGAAACGGATAGTTACATAAATATGGAGAGACTAAAGGAGAGGAGAAAATATAATTATGGAGATATTAAACAAATCCGATGTTGATCATATCTAAACTCAAATATTTTATAACATGTTGGAAAATAAATTTTTTACCAAACTGTAGAAAATCTATTTAAATTTTAGGAAAAATGTGAATTTCAATTTTAAAACGACACTTGCATCATAAAGAAAGATAGAACAAAAAGCCTGTTCACCAGCTTGTCTGAATAATATGGCAGAGAATCAAAACACAACTCCACTCGACATTGTTTACTTACAATTTTGTTTGAATTACTAATCAAAGTAATTAATTGAAGAAACCAAGAATATAATATTAATTTATGTTTTATGGAAAGGGAGAGAAAAGAGAAAAGAGAAAAAGCATTGCGAGGTTAACCTCGAATCTCGGTTTCTTTAAGGACATATAAGTGAGATAAGTGAGACTGAGAGTTTGATGTGAGCGAGGTTGTGTGTTTGTTGTGTTCTGTTAAAAAAGTAATATTATCATCACGTGGTTTGTTACTAAACTATATCAACTGGCTTTACTTTTTTAAGCACCAAATGAATTGTAATTATTTACTACACTAGACATCAAAAATCTTAATATATACTCCCTCCGTATTTTAATAATTGTCGTTTTAGAATTTTTATTTTTTTGAATTAGATGTCGTTTTCAAATTTCAATGCAAAATTTCTTACTTTTTAATGTTTTATGATGTCATAAAACATTAAAAGTAATAAATTTTGCATAGAAATTTGAAAACGACATCCAATTCAAAAAATAAAATTTCTAAAACGACAATTATTAAAATACGGAGGGAGTAGTTGATAAGTGAAAACTTACAATATTCAAAAATGGAGCTACAGAGGCATGTGTTTCAAAATTGCCCGTAAAAGATCGTAATTACTTTTTATGATTACACTTTTTAAATTTGATTTTAATTTTTTTTTGTGAGGACAAAACGATTTAAAATCGTATGGATTTGATGTATGATACATGTATTGTAATGTTTGGTTTTTTACTTTTTTTTTCTAAATGGAAGCTAAATTTTCAAATACATTACGAATATTTGTATCAAAAAAAACTTCCAATTTTAAAAAGTAAAATTTCTAGAGATAATTATGATTTTACGTGTCTAACTACTAAAAAACTATCATTCTTTGCCTGATTTCTAGAGTAGTAGTCATGATTATCATAAAGATTGTCTGATTTAGTCTAAATTATATGTTAGATCCAACCGTCACTGCAGTTATAGATTGAAAAACAGGACTGATACGTAGAGATGATATTTGAGAAACAACAAAGCGGGAAAATGGTCATTTAATTCCCCTACTATTTGAAATTGACACTTTTATTCCCGAACTTTGCTGTGAACAAATTAAATCCTCAATGTGTAGTTGACTGAGCACTTTTGGACAAATAAAAAGTCAACGTTAATTAGTTAACAGTGACGTTAGAAGCTCGATTAAAAACTTCATCAGACCAAAAAATCCCAAATATTCTTCTTCTTCCCCCAAATTCAAACCTAGGGTTCTTAGGCGATTTTAAAAACGACAACCCAGAAATTGAAGTCAATTGTGAACGATTCCCGACATCACGAAGCTACTATCATGACTAAAAGAAAGAGGAAGCTTCAAAATCGAATTGAACGTGATGCCCAAATCGAACCCGAAATCACAGAGGAGAGAGACGAAGTTGAAGACGAAGGAGCCGAATCTCATGATTCTAGTGTTGATGAAGATGACTGTCCAGTTATCGTGGAAGATAGCAGAGGATATACAGAGGTGGAACCATGTTTGGCTGAAAATGAAGAGGAAGAAGATGATGGTCTCATCGATGTTGAAATCTGCAACAACTTAGAAGACCATTTTGGGCAGGATGCGTGTGAAGAAGCAACTGGTGAAAATTCTGATGACAGTGGAGACGACATTTGGGACGACGACAAGATCCCTGATCCATTATCCGACGATGACCAAGAGGAAGTTTCTGGGCAAAGGTTCTTGTTCTTTGTGTTCTTCATAGCTTCGTGATGTCGGGAATCGTTCACAATTGACTTCAATTTCTGGGTTGTCGTTTTTAAAATCGCCTAAGAACCCTAGGTTTGAATTTGGGGGAAGAAGAAGAATAATTTAGGATTTTTTGGTCTGATGAAGTTTTTAATCGAGCTTTTAATGTCACTGTTAACTAATTAACGTTGACTTTTTATTTGTCCAAAAGTGCTCAGTCAACTACACATTGAGGATTTAATTTGTTCACAGCAAAGTTCGGGAATAAATGTGTCAATTTCAAATAGTAGACAAAAGATACAAGAGAACAAGAGTTCTTCCTTAGAAGCATCACCAAAGCAATGCAACAGTACATCTGTAGAAGCCGAAGTTGGTCGTAAGATACACACATGGGACCACAATGAACCTGCTTCAGCATCAAGAAAACACGTCAGAGAAGATTAAAGTAGGAATCAATTACGGAAATGGGCATTATTTTCGATGAAAATTGTTGAAAACAGAACGTTTACCAAGACTTACTGATTTAAGTACTTTTGGTGAGAGGGAAAAGACGAATTTACCCTCAATATTCTGTTCCTTCTCTACCAAACTGCAGCTCTCTGTTCTCTCTCTCTCGCCTAAGTCAGTATCTCTTATGTCTTATACATACACAAATTCAAACGAAATTTTTTAAGCTTTTCTTCAATCACAAAAATCTCACAAGAGATCTAAACAATGGAAACCAAAACCCTAATTTTTACAATCTTCTCGTCGTTATCTCTCTTAGATTCTTGATTGGAAAACTCAAGGAAGCCAATTCTTCCTCCAAGTCCGGCATGGTCTTTTATCGGTGATGGGTCACCACTCTCTACTCAAGCCGCCGATCCATCACACTTTTCTTTTAATTGGAGCCCTTGGGTTTAGTAGATACTATCCCCTTAGGGTTTAGTTTCCTTAATTGAAAACGAAGTTAACTGAATCCGTAGAACTCATCGGAGATGGTGTTGGCTAGGAAAGCAAGGGTTGTGGTTGGGAGAGGAATCGAAAGTTAGGGTTTGTTGTTCATATGTCAGTTGTCGGAGGAGAAGAATGAAAGAGAAAATGCACAAACAGGGGCAAATATGTCTTTTTCTCAGGCCCAAAAATGCCTAAAACCATAAGGCTTGGTAAATAGTTCTCTTTTTGAAAATTTTGACCCAGTAAAGCCCTATTATAATAACCCCTTAAAGTAGTGTAAAATCTTGTTTGGCGAAACATATATGTTTACTGGGATTGGGAACTAATTGTAGAAACTTAAATATACAAAAACTCCAGTTTTGTTAAAAGAATCTGTTTCTTTCCTAGCTTTTTGTTTAGATCAAGTTTAGAAACAGTTGATTTGAAGGCCCTGCAACACTAACTAAAGACCAAGTACTTTGGGCGGAGCGAAAATTTTTGTTTGTAGCTAGGGGTCCAAATATATTTATATTAAATTATATATTTAAAGTATAATATAAAGTGTTTTTTAAATAGTGTAGAGAACAGTTTTTCACGTAAAAGTAAAACTAAATATATTTTCAATATGATGTAGTTCATAATTTTATTTTATTTTTAGTTGTGTTAGGTAGTTTTTTCCTCAAAATAATAAAAATGATAACTGAAAAAAATGGTTTATCAAACAAAATAATTGTAAAATGCAACAAAAATTTTTTTATAAATCTTTAATCAGTGTTTCTAGTTGATCCCAAAACTTTGAGATGGGCCGCCACATCAATATGTGACAATTGTGTTTGCCAAAAAAAAAAATTTCCTCTAATTTTCTGCCGAAACAATATTACAATTCACGAGTAATGAACTAATGATTTAGGGAACAACAAATACAAATAGTGACATGAACCTATACACAGTACTTGTTTTTTAAATCTTGTACTCCTTATTTAATTTTATTAATTAATCTATAACACGATCGGACATGACCAAATATCTTAGTGCATACCCCTACTAATTTCAATATTTGTGGAAGTGATTTATAAGAAAATCAATGTCTAGTTAGACATAGAATTCGGACCAACTCATACTCAACTAAAAATTTACAACTTATCTGAATTTCGAACAGATTTATATATTATTTTCACTCATTCGTTCAACTTTTACGTAATGACGTGAAGAAAATATATATTATCTTAATGATCATGATCAGTGTTTTAAAATACGCTAGGCGCTAGTCGGACGGTGGACGGTGGATAGTGATCAGTCTAGCGCCTAACCGTATACACAGCTGTATATTCAAGGTATATACGGTGAATATATTTTGTAATATATATATATATATATATATATAATTAATAATATAATTATATTGCACATATTTGTGTAAAAACATTTAAATAAAAATTATAGCCTTAATCGAAATGATGCTATAAAAATAAGTGTAAAAGAAAAGCTATTGATAATAGTTAAAAACAAAATCTGCAGTTCGTTTGGTCCAACACAAAAACATAACATAGTTGTCTGATTCTTTGTAAGTTGGATTCCATATAATATTAATCTAATTTATTGAATATGATTTGACTTTAAACGAATTTTACTCTTGTATACGAAATGCATCTCACGTAAACATCTAATCAATCATGAGATGCAATAGAAACTAAAAGACTAAGACACAATTGATTTATTTTTTATTTAATGAACCAGAACAACATCACTTAGTTGAAAACCAAAAAAACAACAAAAAGGTATGTTTTTTTTTTTGGTTTAATGTTAAGATAAAAAAAAAGGTATGTTGTATATACGGTAACCGTATAATCATATATATGTCCGTACAGGTATATTCGGCCGTATTGAAATTAACCATATTTATTAAACGTATAACTTAAAAACGATACAGTAGTTTACCATACCGTATACTGTATATACGCCGTCTAGGAAAAAATACTGATCATGATTATGAATAAGTATTGATGAATGATGATGCATGAATATCTTACCTCCCTTGCCAAACCGGACATATGTTCTTGTCGTAACGATTTGGGAATAGACTAATTTTGTCGAAACCTGCGATTACCATGTAATATTAAAATGATTTGTTTTTTTTTTTTTTTTTTTTTTTGTAAACAAAAATTTAATTAAACTCAAGCTCCAACAATGGAGGAAACGTTACAGACATTCAGACCGGCTTTTGCCAAAGCATCAACCTCAGAGTTATCCTTACGAGGAACAAAATGAAAGGAAATTGAGACGGAACCATTCTTAAGCGAATAAATATCCGAGAGAATGTCTTCCAATTCATTAACATGGCCATCGGTGTTGAGGAGAATAGTGAGCTCTTGACAATCCGAGTGACAGGCCAGTCGAAAAACACCCAAAGCTAAGGCCGCCGTGATTGCTGCCTTGAGAGCGAGTGCCTCTGCAATAATAACAGAGGACACATAGGGTCTTGAAGTAGAACCATGAAGTATTGGGGGCGTTAAGTGGGTCTTTGATAATCCAACCCAGTCCACATACACTAGTGGAAGCTGCCCAGGCTGCATCCGAGAAACACTGAAAAGCCTCTAGGTGCACTTCAACGATTTGAAGCTTGAGAGGCAGAGCTTTCTTAGGCGGCTGCAGTAATTTGGTCTCTTGCCAGCTGCGAGCCTCTGTTATCGCTTTCAGCAGAGTATCCAGCTCAGACCAGGATTTTTCTTCAAAAAGCAACTGATTACGTGCTTTCCAGAGAAACCATAGGAGCCAAGGGAACAAAGGAGAGATACCCAAACCCACTGGAGGGAGAGTTGTCATCCCTCTTGCCTTAATCAGTAACTCTTTCACCGTGTCCAGCTCGTTACAAGAGGGCTTTTTAGTGGCTGGAGCAAGATCCCAAACACTCTTTGCATAAGGGCAGTGAAAGAACAGATGCATCGCACTCTCCTCCGCTCCACACCGTTTACACGCCTCAACTACACCTAGACCTCTGCTCGATAAAGCTGAACCTATAGGCAGAGCGTTTCGAGCTACCTTCCACAAGAACATTTTTAGCTTTGGGGAAGTAGCAACTTTCCACACATTTGAGCTCCAATTAAAACTTTCTGGTCGGGAAACTTCAGTCACTCTCTTACTCAATGAGTAGCCTGATTTAGTAGAATATTTGCCTTTTTTAACAGGGAGCCATCGCAGCGTATCCGGACGCAGATACTTGCCCAGGACTAGTTTCCGGATATCATCCTCATACTGAGGCACTAACAATCTAACCTTCTCCAGATTCCAACTGGGAGAGTTGGAGAGAATCAGATCTTTGACCCTCAAAAACTGAGTAGCTTCTGTAGGAGGTCCCATGGCCTGCAAAGGAACACTTGTAGACAGCCAAGGTGAGTTCCATAAACTGATACTCTCACCGTTGCCTACAACCCAGCCCAAACCCTTCCTTAAGACCTCTCTACTCTCCAAAATACCTCTCCAACCATGAGACGCACTTGCGGGAATAGGAGACTCCATAAAAGAGGACGAATGACAATATTTGCCCAATAGAACTTGTGCTAATAAGCAGTCCGGTTGCTAAAGAAGCTTCCAACCTATCTTAGCTAAGAGGGAATCATTGAAAGTAGCAATCTCTCTAAATCCCAGCCCACCATCTTCTTTAGCTAGAGAGAGTTTGTCCCAAGCGACCCAAGCCATCTTCTTTTTATCCGGTTTATCATCCCACCAAAAACGGGTTAGCGCCGATTGAAGTCTCTTACAAAGCGACATGGAAAGCTTAAAACAAGACATGGCATATGAAGGCATAGCCGATAATACTGCCTTGAGGAGAACATTCTTTCCCGCCTCAGAGAGGAAACGATTGGACCAAGACAAAGATCTTTGACGCACTTTATCCACTATAGCCGTGAAGATGTCTTTCTTTCGTCTCCCAAAATGCTCAGGAAGACCCAAATACTTTCCGATGCCTCCTTCTTTCTCTATGCCCAACGCCTGCGTCACTCTTAATTTAACCTCCAGAGGAGTTTTTGCGGAGAAGGTGATTCTCGACTTAGCCGCATTAATACACTGTCCCGAGGCTTCCTCTTACCTTTTGAGAATGCGCATGAGAGTTTCACAGCTTCTTACACTCGTTTTACTAAAAAACATTGTGTCGTCCGGGAAAAGAAGGTGATTCATTAAGGGGCTGCGTCTAGACATTCGAACACCGGGGAGCGAGCCATGGAGTTGAGCTTTCTTGCATAATCCCGAGAGCACTTCCGTACAAAGAATAAAGAGGTAAGGCGAATGAGGGTCGCCTTGACGAAGCCCTCGAGATGGACTGACGCTTCCTTTAGGGGAACCGTTGATAAGGAACGCATAGCTCACCGACATTCCATTACCCACTTTATCCACATGTCGTGGAACCCTAACCTCATTAAAATAGCACGGAGGAAAGGTCATTCAATGCGGTCATACGCTTTGCTCAAAATGATTTGTTTCTCTCCATATTAACTATAAATAGATATTTGTATAATTAAAGCAGAAATAATGGTACAAATTGTGCTCATGAATTTCACAGAGATATCAAAAATAAAAACAAGTAATATACCATTGGCATGATTCAATTTTTTTATTTTTTTTTGTTAAAAGGTTTCATGATTCAATTTGTTGATACCAAAAAGAAAGAAAAAGAAGAGGAATACTCATTATTATCCCGTGTTTTATACTAAACTTTTAAATCAAGTCACTTCTACTTTTTCATGCAACCATACGAATTGTAGTTAATTGCTTCACCGAAAATCAAAATAAATAATTTTAAAAAGAGTGACAATATTACTTTTTTAACGCAACACAACAAAACACAACCTCGCTCACATCAAACTCTCTTGTCACTCTATGTCCTAAGAAACTGAGCTTCAAGGTTAGTTTCTCAATGCTTTTTCTAACAAATGTCCATAGATATTTCTTTGTTGGTGGATTCTTTGCTTGTATGTAGTGGATTTGTGTTATGATTCTCTGCCTCATTTTCAGACCAGCTGGTTAAAAGGCTTTTTGTTCTTTCTTTCTGTAGAATCCAAGTGTCGTTTTTTCATCGAAATCCATAATTTCCTAATTTTTTTGAAAAGGAAAATAGATATTTAAATACATTTCAAAATGTTTTAAAAATAATTGAGGTCTAGATACGATCAACGGTTATGCTCTTCTCTCCTTTAATATCTCCATAATTATATAACAATCCGTTTCATAGGTTTATTATTTCTCTTCACTCTTGCTCTTTTCTCCATTTTCTAGTGAAAAGACTAGAATTTTTTTTAAGGTTCATCAGATTTTGAAGCTAGTTCTTTTTTTTTGGCATTTGGTTTGATCTCTTTTATGAGAGCTCTAATTTATCTTTTGTTATTTTCTCTGTTGCAGGAAAAGAGAAAATGGACCACTGATGAAGAAGGAAACAAATAGATTTTGATCGAAGCATCTTGATCTATCTTTTTTCCACAAAATATAAATTTTATCTCAGAAAAGAAACAAAAGTTAGAGAAATATCATGTGATTTCTGGTTGATAGTTAGTAAGGTGTGGTGGCTATAAAAGAAAGCATTTTCCGAGAAAAGCTTTTGTTTCCTTGTGAAAATTTTAGTTACAAAATAGAAGGAGAATACAAAAACTTAGAAATTGGGTTTGGTTCTTTAGTGACCAAAAATAGAGTTACTATGAGCATGAAGTCATTAGAGAGAGTGGTTTCAGAGAAAGCATTTAAACTTGGAAATTCATTTCCATGTCAAATCTGTGTAGTTGGGTTTCTATTGGGAATCTGTCTCACTTCACTTTTCTTAGCTGCTCTTACTTCTCTTGGCACCTTCGAGTTCGCCGCCTTCTCCTTCACCTCCACTTCCTCTGTTTTTCCTCCTTGCAATTCCTCCAGCTCTCAAATCATCAGTGAGTCTCAAAGATTTTGATTTCTTGTAACTTTTTGTGTGTGTTTTTTTACAAGTAATAATGAAAAATTTGTTTATATGTAGATATGGTTGCAAGCATAGACCGGAAACTGAAATGGAAGAACAAAGCTGAGACAGAAGAAGAAGATGAAGTGAAACTTTTGGTATCTGCTTGGGATAATTTATTACTAAATGAAGAAGACTTCTTGAAGAAGGTAGGGATGAACAAATCCGATGTACCAAATGGTCCACATTTGGAGAATTGTGAGGAGAAGGCGCGAGTTAGGGAGCGTTTGGATACACGGATAGCGAATCGGACATTCCCTTCTTGGGTATATGCTTCTGCTCTTCTTTGTCATCAAGAAATTACTATGATGAATGATCAAAAATAGCTTGTTTTCAGATCAGTGGAGGAGATGAAGAGAATTATCCGTTAACGAGGAGAGTGCAACGTGAGATATGGATTCATCAGCATCCTTTGGACTGTCAAAACAAGAGTCTCAAGTTCCTTGTAGCTGATTGGGAAACGCTTCCTGGTTTTGGAATAGGAGCTCAGATCGCTGGAATGACTGGTCTTCTCGCGATAGCTATAAAAGAAAACCGAGTGCTCGTCACAAATCACTACAACCGAGCAGATCATGATGGTTGCAAAGGTACATAAAGGCTTTAATCCTTGAGTCTTCACTCGCTAACATATAGCAGCAACTATCACAAACTACATCTTCTTGGTTAATCTTCTTATGAAGATGTTTTAGACGCCGAAACGTCTATACAAGAACCAAGCTTTGGGTTTGATTTTGGTGTTTCTCTTTGTTTGGCTGCAGGTTCTTCTCGTGGAAGCTGGTCATGCTATTTTCTACCGGAAACATCGGAGGAGTGTCGGAAACGCGCGTTTGCGATTGTGAAGAAGAGAGAAGCGTGGGAGAGTGGGATTGTTACAGGGAAACAAAACTACACCACAAAGGAGATTTGGGCTGGGCCTATACCAAAGCTATGGGGTAAGCCTTGGAGTTATATGAAGCCAACTACAGAAATCAATGGAAGTTTAATCTCCAGTCACCGGAAAATGGATCGGAGATGGTGGAGAGCACAAGCAGTGAGATACTTGATGAGATATCAAACAGAATACACTTGCGGTTTGATGAACACTGCTCGAAATTCCGCATTTGGAAAAGAAGCTGCCAAGATTGTTCTCTCTGCAGGAGATTGGAGAAAGAAGAATAAGAAGATTGAGACACAGATTGAGGAACAGGTGTGGTCGGATCACAAGCCATGGATTCCAAGGCCAATGCTGAGTGTTCACGTGCGGATGGGAGACAAAGCATGCGAGATGAGAGTCGCAACTTTAGAAGAGTACATGCGTTTAGCTGATCGGATCAGAGATCGGTTTCCAGAGCTCAATAGGATCTGGCTGTCTACAGAGATGAAGGAAGTTGTGGACAGAAGTAAAAATTATGCTCACTGGAGATTCTATTATACAGAAGTGGCAAGACAAGTCGGTAATAAGTCGATGGCTGAGTATGAAGCGAGCCTCGGGAGAGAGATGAGCACAAACTATCCTCTGGTTAACTTCTTAATGGCATCAGACGCTGATTTCTTCGTCGGGGCATTGGGTTCCACTTGGTGTTTCCTCATCGATGGTATGAGGAATACGGGTGGGAAAGTCATGTCTGGTTATCTCAGTGTCAATAAAGATCGGTTCTGGTAACTTTGCTAGTTCTGCTATGTACATAACAAGACCCCTCCTTATTTCTTCATCTGTTGTACAAAGAGTTTTCAGTATAATAAAGGAGGTTAAGTACGGTTCGTTTCACAAACAGTTCAGAGCAACCGCAAACCAACTAAAGCGATTCTAAACTGAAAATTTGAAGATAAACTGAACAGAGCCAAAATGGCTGTTCCTACCAGCAAACGCCTTCCTTAAGAATTTCAAAAAATAAGAAGACATCACTAAAAGATCAATAGCAATAACACAACCAACCCCTTCTCATCTAAGTGACATCCTGTTTATTCAGGAACCAACCAAAAGTAAAAGGAACTATAGCATTGATTTTCACAATTCTCAACATCTGGAGATGATGAAGTAACACAGCTACAAAGTACATACAAAAACCCAGAGATAGAAACATCAGAGCAAAGTGAATGCAATACATGTGAAGAAGATTATCAATAAATATACTGTATTAAATAGCTAGCCAATGAAGATAAGTTAGAAAACAAATCGAAGCTAAGTTCAACAGAGGGCACTACCGGCTTTTTGTTTGTTTTTCACTTTCCTTCCTCGACAAAGCTCCAATGATTCTTCTCAGGAACTTTATATTTCTCTTCTGCATGATTAACTAATATGATGAAATAACAACATTTGCACAGCTTGACTTCCAAACAACAAAAAACAAGAAACATCATTTAACCTCAAGTTTTTCTCCATTTCCTTTTTTTTCTTATCCACCACTAGTTTTATCTTCTAGACATTACGGTTTTCCGATGACTTACCTTAATGAACTCAGAAGGGAGCCTCCAGTGATGACTCATCCCAAACCTCAGCACTTCCATTGGATGCATCTTCAACATCTTCTTCCATTGAAAGCCTAATATACTCTCTATGTGCAAAACGGTCCCAGTCTGTCAATGTAGGGTTCTCACGCTCCTGTTTTCGTTTGACATGTTGAAATGTTATAAGAGGCCAATGGTGTCAAGAAAACAGCAAGGTTGAATATCAAACGTGGAGTACCTGACGAATGAGGAACGGATCCCGTGTTTCAAATGCCATAAATTTGTTTAGATTAAAAAGGATGTTGAAGACGTTTCCAGAGAGCTTTGAGCCTTTCAGGTCATGCAGCGTTATATGGCTTTCGTTCTGTGGAAGGAAACAAGAAACAATCAAACACAAAACAAAATCGCAAGAGTCAGAAAGAAAAAACTACTTCTGTGACCGTTCTATATCTTATTTAAATATAGAATAGCATATAATAACCACAAAACATAAGAGACATATTGTTGAACCTCTGGTCCGATCATATCAATCATCTGACATAAGATATCTTCAAAAAGAACCGCCTCTTGGGCCATGCACTCCATTCGATGCAACTGTTCTTCATAAAAGAATTGCATCTCATTTCGGGTAATAATCCCATTTGCATCCAAGTCTATGCACTTAAACCTAGTCCAATATATACTTGTGTCAGATAAAAAGATATAAAATGCTATCTGTTTGCAACATTCGGATCCTTATATCACAGCTTACCAATACTCTAGGCTAGGCTCTGATGATTTATCTTCTTCCGCAAGTATGAAATAGACAAAGTCCTCATACCCCATCTTCCCTTCAATTTTGCTAGTGAACTTCCTAGCAACCTGAGTAGAAACCAATGCAATATCCATGATGACAGTCATCTTAAAAGCAATAATAACTTTGAACGAGGACAGAACTCTTGAAATGGAAGTAATATAAATAAAATCTTCAAGTAGTAGGGCATAAAAAATCATTCTAAAAGATCGATATTTTTTAGACAGAACCTGCGAGAATATTCTGTCAACAATCCGGTAGGTAAGAGCATGGTTTCCATATCTCATAAGATTTTCTTTGTCAATCAGGAAATCGTGATCCGTATCCAGCTCCCAGAACTTGCAGTATATGACATAGAAATGCTCATATGAGAAGTATCTAGTTGCCAAAGTATATAGAAAAGTGTTGATTTCAAATAAAGAGAAACAAAACCATAAATACAACAATAGGACGAACTCTGTTTGTTAGTACCTCAACACTTTGTTGATATCTTCTTCTTCGTCAGCATGTAGCATTGCATCAATTAAGTTTCCCCGTCTGAGCTCCCTAAATGTAAGTCGACCATTCCCAGATCTATTTATGTAGTAAAATATTCTGTAGGTGACTGTTTCAGCTGGCCCATCAAAATAAAGTTTTATCAGACAAAACTGCAATTGATTCCCACCATCTTCAATAGTAGCAGAAAATACCAGCGAATGAATCCATACATGGCAAACAATAAAAGTGTCACGTAATTTCATTACTAACAAATGTTTCATAAAGCAATTCCAGAAAAAACTTTTATAAGATTGACAAAAGTTGGAAAAATGATCTATAGGAGAGAACACATTATAGAAGTGTAATTCTGTGGACACCCCCTACAGGAGTCGTAGACCTATGGGAGAGAACACATTATCATCCTCTGAACAGAGGGTGTTTCATGCTATGCGTGCAAGTTGGGATCTATGGAATTGCAAGTTAAGAGAAGATGTCTAACACAACAAGAAATCTATAGAATATTTCAAATCCAATCAGAGTGTTGCCATGTTATCATCTCGATGCATCAATTATTAATATTGTCTTAGTTATCTAGTAATATGATTGGTTTAGTAACCATATCTGAATGATTTAGATAGAAAACCATACCATACAGAACAGACTTATTCATCATTCATCACAACTAGCATGGTAGCTTATTGTATACTTTGAAGAATAAAATCCACAACCAAACTCCGGTTCAATTACTAAACACCATACTCAAGTAATATCAAGAGGTAAAAGAAAACACGAGCTAAAATAGGATAGTGACTAAAATGTATATGAACTTGAGACCTAACCATATCTTTCTTGGAATTCAGGTGTGCTGTGCAGGAACTCTAGCCCAGGATGCGTCGCCAACAGTTCTTTAAGTAGTGGTTTGAAATCATCCTGCCAGAAAAAGAAAGAAAGAATGTTGAAAATGCAAACATAAGAGCAAGGAGATTGGGAAATATAGCTATCGTGACTGAATATGCAAATCAAAAGAAAAATACCTTAACAATGAAATTCTGATTTTGCTGCTTTAAAATCTTGAAGATTTGGGTTGTTGTATCCATTATCAACATGTTCCCATTTACCCAATAATCAATAAATGCTTCTCTGTATAATCAACATTAAAATGTTATACTGGGTTGTCCGTTACAGTGATCACCAAACTCATGACAGAGAGTGACTATAAAATGAGCAAGAAGCTTGAAGTATGCTGCAAACTGTGCACACATCAGATTCCACCATACAAAAAGCATAGAAGAAGCACACACCTAGTAACAAAACCTGTATTATTGACATCGATCTTCTGGAAAAGTGAAGTGGAGAAGAAAGATGGGAGCTTGCAGATTTCTCTGGTGACTAATTTGAATTCTGAGTATTGAAAATGGAAAAAAGTTAATAAACAATTCCATAAAAATGTCGCTTTCAATAGTAGAAAACTTATGACTTCTTCTTACCTTGTATCTGTAACCCATCCATGTGACCATAAAAGAAGTGATTGATTCTAAACATACATTGCTCCTTTATCTCGCTTGGTGGTGGGCGACCATTTTGGAAATAAAACTAGAATCATTTCAAGATTAAAATCAGTGATCTTAACTCCATTACTATATATAGGAGGAAAAAAGAATGCAATTATAAAAAAAATTGCAGAAAAAAACAGTTCAAAACCTGAGGTATTGGCTCTTTAACAGGCTCGTTGACAACTTTGAGAGTAGAACCTAAGTTAGAAGGGGCTCTCTGTTTGGTTGTACGCGGTGAACCACAACTCCTTGGCGAAAGCGGAGGAGCACTTCCCGCAGGAAACATAGATGGTATAGTGGCAGAATTAGAACCCGATGCACTTCCAGTAACATTTATAGGAGCTCCAGCTATAGCATCCTTAAGCAATGTTCCAATCTAGAAAAGAAAAAAACAAAGCTTTGGACGTCAAATTCCAGTGAATCGCTATTTACACTCGCTAACACTATCAAAGATTCGAACTTTACACCAATCTTCAACACCACATAGTAATAAAGCAACCAAATCTCAGTAACCAAAGCATCATTGTAACACATACTAACACTATCAAAGATCCGAACTTTACACCAATCTTCAACACCACAGAGTAATTAAGCAACCAACTCTCAGTAACCTAAGCATCATTGTAATACTGACTAACACTTTCAACGAAAGATTCGAACTTTACACCAATTTGCAACACCACAGAGAACCAAATCTCAGTAACCTAAGCATCATTGTAATACAAACTAACACTATCAAAGTTACACCAATCTTTAACACCAGAGTGATTAAGCAACCAACTCTCAGTAACCTAAGCATCAGTGTAACAATTCTAAAGCCAATTAAAGCAGAAGAGTGGTCAGATACCTGTCGATGGGATTCAGGAAGAGAAAGCCACTGGTCGAAGAGTTTTTGAGTGAATCCAGGTTTTGAATTTAGAACAAAGGAAGACATTTCTTGAAGCTGCAACAAATCTACATCCAAACAAGCCATGTCTCCGGGAACAATCGTATCCACCATATTCAATCGAACAGGCGAAATTGTAAATTTAACAAAGTTGAGATCTTCAACAACAAATCGAATAATCGGAGAAAGGAAAATGCTTTAACTCTTTTTTTTTTTTAATGGATCTGAAATACATAAAATGAAAAAATAAGACAAAACCCATACCACTAAACTAACTTTTTTTTTAGTTGAAACTAAACTAAAGGTGGTGTTATTCAATAATGGATTTTAATAGAATTGAAATCCAACACTAATCCAGTGTTATTAACCTAATGATTTTAAATCTAACTCTAATAGATTGTAAAGTTTGGTGTTATTCAACTAAAATTTAAAATGCTTCATTAAAATCCAGTGTTATTCAAAACTAAAAGACTTGTAAAATCTTTGTATATCAAATCATTTGAAATGAAACATCTTTGTAGTTTCATGAGTAAATTATTAGAATCATAATCCAAGATATACTGCAGAGATTTTGAACTCCACACAAACAGATTGTTAAAAACAATATCAGAAATCAAATCTAAACCTTTAAGAATTGACTTTAATTCCACGAGTGAATAACACCCCTAAGTTTTCTATTAAAATGTACAATTGCTAGTTTTTATTTTCAAAAATACCACTGCAAAATTTTTATTGCAAAAATACCAAAAATATTAAAAATGATTTTAAAGGTTTATAAGTTTGGGTTTAGGTTTATTATTTACAATTATATTTTTAATATGTATATTTTCTTAACGAAAAGAATAATATGTTGATCGAATTAAAGATATAAAATTTTCATAAATTTGGGCATCTATACTAAATTTAGTTTCAGAAATTTAAGTATAACTCAAATCTAGGTTGTATGGAAACTACATCTTAAGTTTTAGGTATGTTTTTTCGTTTCGGAAATATTTGTGAATCGAAAATTTTTGAAAACACGGCAAAATATAAAAAGAACATGATCTCTAAAAATCTCAATTTAGAAACGGGATGGACTCTCGTCTTGTTTACTTGGAAACTTAATAAGTAAATAATTTGGAAACATATGATGTATATAGTATTTTCGTAACTTAAAATACTTAAATAATTTGAAATTTTACATCACTAATATATATTTATTTTTCTCTAATAGCTAAATGTCTACTAGAAAAGTTGACGAGAATGCAGCTGAAAACAATGCTTAAATCTTTGACTTCTAACATTATGATCTATGACTTTTGTTTTTAATAACGTTTTAGTACCGTTTTTATAGTTTGTTACAACGGAAATATTGTTTTCAATTTTTTCCATACCGAATTTCCGATATTTTTAGGGTTGTTTTAAATATAGGTAAGTGTTTTATTTTAATATTATTGTAGTACCATTGGTTACTTACAACGAAAACAGTACACCGAAAACCCGAAAAATATCCGAACCGATTTTAAAAAATACTCGAATGGGTCCTAGACCTCTCTACCCGAAAAAACCCGAACCGAACCGGAACCGAATCCAATACCTGTGGGTACCCGAATACAAATATACACCTAAAGATATTAGTTATATTTATACTTATAATACCCCAAATACCTAAAATTACAATTATAAACCTGAATATACTAGATATTTTTGAGTAATTCGGATACATTTGGGTAAAAAGTAAAAAATGTTGTAGTTTTCTTTTGGGTAATTTTAATACTTTTAGATACATTTGCTTATTTGGGTAAAGAGTAACCAATGTATTTTCGAGTGATCGGGTATTTCTGTTAGATTTAGGTATATATGAGTAAAAAAGCCGAATCCGACCCGAACCCGAAAATATTTCGGGTATTTTTGGTTATTTTCGGATATTTTTCTTTTTTACTAAAATATCCGAACAGATCTGAATCCGAACCGATTGGGTACGGATACCCGAATACCCATGCCTTTGTGCTTACCATTGTGAAAAAATGTACCAATGTTCTTATGCCAATTCAATAAATCAATAAGCGAAAGCAGTATAAAATCCTTACCGCTTTCTCTTCTTTATTTTTCTTTTTCTTTTTTGTAATCCTTACCAATAAAAAACTCTTAGCGATTTATGTTATCAAATCCAGATTTAGGAAAAACATATTGTGGTTCTTTGTCTTGAGAATGATATCATATTTGTGGGGTTACCACTTGATATAAAACAAGTAAACCTGAGATTAAACCTATTATGGTATATAATCTACTTTCTAGGATTCCTATAAACCAAAAACCAACCAAAAAGAATAATATAAAGTAATTATGGAATTGATTTTCACAATATTTGGAACAACTGAAAATGATGAAGTAACACAGCTCTAAAGTACATACAAAAACCCAGAGATAGAACAAAGTGAATGTAATACAGGCGAAGAAGACGTAAAGCGATGAGCTAGACGACGATTATTAATAAATATAACTGTATAATCAGCTAAGAAATGAAGAGAAGTTAGAAAACAAATTCAAGCTAAGTATGGGATTCAACAGAAGATACTACCGGCTTTTCGCTTGTTTTTCGCCAAAGATTCTTCTCAGGGACTTTATGTTTCTCTTCTGCATGAATAACTAATATGATGAAATAACAACATTTGCATAACCTTCAACTTCTAAGTTTCTTTTTCCTGTTTCCTTTTTTTTTTTTTTTTTTTCCTGTCGACTTACTACCTCTTTGAACTCAGAAGGGAGCCTCCAATGACGAGTCATCCCAAACCTCAGCACTTCCATTGGATGCATCTTCAACATCTTCTTCCATTGAAAGCCTAATATACTCTCTATGTGCAAAACGGTCCCAGTCTGTCAATGTAGGGTTCTCACGCTCCTGTTTCCGTTTGACATGTTGAAATGTTATGTGATGCCCATGGTGACTAGAAAATAGCAAGGTTGAATATCAAACAAGGAGTACCTGACGAATGAGGAACGGATCCCGTGTTTCAAATGCCATAAATTTGTTCAGATTAAAAAGGATGTTGAAGACGTTTCCAGAGAGTTTTGAGCCTTTCAGGTCTCGCAGCGTTATATGGCTTTCGTTCTGTGGAAGGAAACAAGAAACAATCAAATGAAACACAAAATCGCAAGAGTCAGAAAGAAAAACTGGGAACAGTAACTACTTCTGTGACTATCCTATATCTTGTTTAAATATAGAAAAACATTAGACATATTGTCCAACCTCTGGTCCGATCATATCAATCATCTGACATAAGATATCCTCGAAAAGAACAGCCTCTTGCGCCATGCATTCCATTCGATGCAACTGCTCTTCATAAAAGAATTGCATCTCATTTCGCGTAATAATCCCATTTGCATCCAAGTCTATGCACTTAAACCTAATCCAATATATACTCGTGTCAGTAAAAAACACTCAAAATGCTATCTGTCTGCAACTTTCGGATCCTTACATCACAGCTTACCAATATTCTAGGCTAGGCTCTGACGATTTATCTTCTTCCGCAAGTATGAAATAAACAAAATCCTCATACCCCATCTTCCCTTCCACTTTGCTAGTGAACTTCCTAGCAACCTGAGTAGAAACCAATGCAATATCCATGATGACAGTCATCTTAAGAGCAATAATAACTTTGAACGAGGACAGAACTCTTGAAATGGAAGTAATATAAATAAAATCTTCAAGTAGTAGGGCATAAAAAATCATTCTAAAAGATCAATATTTTTTAGACAGAACCTGCGAGAATATTCTGTCAACAATCCGGTAGGTAAGAGCATGGTTTCCATATCTCATAAGATTTTCTTTGTCAATCAGGAAATCGTGATCCGTATCCAGCTCCCAGAACTTGCAGTATATGACATAGAAATGCTCATATGAGAAGTATCTAGTTGCCAAAGTGAATAGAAAAGTGATGTTAAATGAGCAGAAACAAAACCATATATGAGCAGAAACAAAACAATAGCATGCAATTTTTTTGTCAGTACCTCAACACTTTGTTAATATCTTCTTCTTCATCAGCATGTAGCATGGCATCAATTAAGTTTCCCCGTTTAAGCTCCCTAAATGTAATTCGACCATTGCCAGATCTATTTATGTAGTAAAATATTCGGTATGTGACAGTTTCAGCTGGTTCATCAAATACAAATTGTATCAGACAAAACAGCATCCTTAAATATTCAACTTTGATACCGGTAGCAGCAAATACCAAACAATATGGACTCAAGATATAGCAAACAATAAAAGTGTTCACATAATTTCATTACTAACTGACACATGATTCATAAAAAAGTTCCAGAATTTCTTCTATTAAGATAAACAAAAGTCAGAAATTTTCTCTTATATAACCCCTGCAGGATTCATAGACCTATTGGAGAGAACACAAATGATCACCCTACGGAAGATGATTCATGCCGTGCTTGAAAACTTTATGGATTTGCAAATTATAAGATGATGTCTAACACAACACAACAAAGAAACCGTATCTTATAAAATGTTTCAAATCCATACAGAGTCATGCCACATTTATTATCTCGATGCATCAATTATTAAAATTATCTTATTTCACTAGAAATACGATTGATGTGGTAACCATCCGACAGATTTAGATAAGTACATCATACCAAAAATGGCAAACTTATTCACTCATTCTTCTCAACTAGAGCTGTAGCTAACCATACACTTCGAAGAATGAAATGTACAACCAAACTCAATTACTAAACACCATTACTCAAGCAATACCAAGAGGAAAAAGAAAACATGAGATAAATTAGGATACTAAAATGTATATGAAGTTGAGACCTAACCATATCTTTCTTGAAATTCAGGTGTGGATTGCAGGAACTCTAGCCCAGGATGCGTCGCCAACAGTTCTTTAAGTAGTGGTTTGAAATCATCCTGCCAGGAAAAAAAAGAAAAGAATCTGGAGTATTAACTCGCTCTCATGACTGAATATGCAAATCAAAAGAAAATTACCTTTACAATGAAACTCTGATCTTTCTGCTTTAGTATCTTGAAGATTTGGGTCGTTGTATCCATTATCAACATGTTCCCGTTTACCCAATAATCAATAAATGCTTCTCTGTACAAACAAACACAAAAACTGTTATACTGGGTGTTTCAGTACTGTGATGTACGCTGGAAACTATGCACATATTAGATTCCACCATACAAAAAGCATAGAAGAAGCACACACCTAGTTACAAAACCTGTATTATTGACATCAATCTCCGGAAAAGTGAAGTGGAGAAGAAAGATGGGAGCTTGCAGATTTCTCTGGTGACTAATTTGAATTCTGTGTATTGAAAAGGGGAAAAATTTAATAAACAATTCCAAATAAATGTGACTTTAAATAGTAGAAAACTTATGACTTCTTCTTACCTTGTATCTGCAACCCATCCATGTGACCATAAAGAAGTGATTGATTCTAAACATACATTGCTCTTTTATCTCGCTTGGTGGTGGGCGACCATTTTGGAAATAAAACTAGAATCATTTCAAGTTTAAAATCAGTGATCTTAACTCCATTACTATATATATAGGAGGAAAAGAGAATGCAATTATCAAAAAATTGCAGAAAAAAAACAGTTCAAAACCTGAGGTATTGGCTCTTTGACAGGCTCGTTGACTACTTTGAGAGTAGAACCTAAGTTAGAAGGGGCTCTCTGTTTGGTTGTACGCGGTGAACCACAACTTCTTGGTGAAAGCGGAGGGGCACTTCCAGCAGGAAACATAGATGGTATAGTGGCAGAATTAGAACCCGATGCACTTCCAGTAACATTTATAGGAGCTCCAGCTATAGCATCCTTAAGCAATGATCCAATCTAGAAAACCGATTAGGAAATGAGAAAAGGTTAAGACTTGAGACTCCAGTGAATAGAGTAATTAAGCAACCAAATCTCAGTAACCTAAGTATCATTGTAACACTCACTAACACTATCAAAGATTCGAACTTTACACAAATCTTCAACACCAGAGAGTAATTAAGCAACCAAATCTCAATAACTTAAGCAGCATCAGTGTAACAATTGTAAAGCCAATTAAAGCAGAAGAGTGGTCAGATACCTGTCGTTGGGATTCGGGAAGAGAAAGCCACTGGTCGAAGAGCTTTTGAGTGAATCCAGGTTTTGAATTCAGAACAAAGGATGACATTTCTTGAAGCTGCAACAAATCTGCATCCAAACAAGCCATGTCTCCGGGAACAGTCGAATCAACCATAGTCAATCAACGAAATAACAAAGAGGATGAGAAGGATCTTTGAATGTGGAGGACGAAATCGAACAAAGTCGAGATCTTCAACAACACATCGAATCTAGTCTCCTTCTCCGATTCCGCAGAAGGAAATTAGACAGGAAAATCTTTTAACCTTTTTTTTTTTTGTGGTAGCAATCAGAAAAAATCAATAACACAAAAACCCTAAATTACCACTAAACTAAGTTTTTGTTCAAAATGTACTATTACTTTAGTTTTTTTCTCAAAATTACCATTATAAATTCTTTAGTCAAAAATACCACAAACATTAAAAATAATTAATTTTTGTTCTAAATATAATATTACTTTAGTTTTTTTCTCAAAATTACCATTATAAATTCTTTTAGTCAAAAATACCACAAACATTAAAATAATTAATTTTTGTTCTAAATATACTATTACTTTAGTTTTTTTTTCTCAAAAGTACCATTATAAAATTTTTAGTCCAAAATTACCACAAACATTAAAAATAATTTTTAGAAATTTAAAATATTAAAAGTTTGGGTTTGAGTTTAGTATTTATATGTATATAACTATAATTCTAATATGTATATTTTTTTAACCAAAAGAATAATATGTTGATTGAATTGAAATTAAAAATTTTCATAAATTTGGGCAACTATACTAAATTCAATTTAAAAAATTTGTGTATAACTCAATCTGGGTAGTATGGAAACTTCTGCTGAAGTTTTGGGACGCCTACAACTTAGTAATACGGTAATTTCCAGCATATGCAATTTTTCGTGTTCAGTTTTGATTATCTAATCGTTGTTTTAAAGGAGATAGAGAAAATGTGTCGATCATTTCTATGGAGTGGATCACCAAACATTTCCACTAAGGCTAAGGTAGCTTGGGCCGATGTTTGTTTACCAAAAAAAGAAGGTGGGCTGGGTATTCGTAATTTGCAGGAAATCTCACGAGTTTTTGCACTAAATCTCATTTGGAAGTTGTTCACTATGTTGGGTTCTTTGTTGGTGGCTTGGTAAGACATTATCTACTTCTCAATTGCTCGTTTTGGGATGTCAACAACAATGGGTGTAAAGATTGGAATAGAACGGTTTGACTTGATTAGATGCATAAGATTACATATATATACAAGTGTGAAAACCCTAGGCTACAAGGCAAATAAGGAAAGCCGAATACTAATGATATATTTACAAATCCACCCCATAATACTCCCCCTCAAGTTGGTGCATCAAGGTCGCATATGCCCAACTTGACACGAAGAAACTCGAATGCTTGCGATCCAAGAGCTTTGGTGAATATGTCTGCGAGTTGGTGATCGGAGGGTATGTAGGCAGTTTTGAGCAACCCATTTTGAATCTCGTCACGTATGTAGTGACAATCACGTTCAATGTGCTTGGTCCGCTCGTGAAAGACCGGATTAGCTGCGATGTGTAAAGCCTCCTTATTATCACAATACAACGTGATAGGTTCAGTCGAGGTGACACCAAAATCTGATAAGAGATTATAAATCCACTTGAGCTCAGATGTAGTGAAAGACATAGCTCTATACTCTGCCTCCGCGGAGGATTTAGAGACAACTCCTTGTTTCTTGGTCTTCCAAGCGATAGGTGAACCTCCTAACAAGACTGCAGATCCCGTGAGAGATCGACGCGATATTGGACAAGTAGACCAATCAGAATCACAATACCCGGTGATATTTAAATCACTATCAGCCGTGAGCAATATCCCATGTCCTGGACTATTCTTGAGGTAGAGAACAACCCTCAATGCTGCCCACCAATGTTTGAGCCGAGGTTGATGTAAAAATTGAGCCAAAACATGTACAACGTACGTGAGCTCCGGTCTCGTGATGGTCAAATACACCAACCTCCCTACTAAGCGTCGATACTGGTCCGGTGAATCTTAATACTCTCCCTTGTCTCCTCCAATTTATGATTTTGGAGAATCGGTGTACAACCGGTCCTGGCCTCCCAACAGACCACATTCATTGATAATATCCAATGCATATTTCTCTGAGACAAGTAAATTCCCTTAGAAGATCTAGCCACTTCAATTCCCAAAAAATACTTAAGAGACCCCAAGTTTTTCATATGAAAGCATTGATTCAAATACTCCTTGAATTGAATTATTGCTTCTTCATCATTCCCGCCAATGAGTAAGTCGTCAACATATATGATCACATAGAGACACATTTTCCCACGAATCAGCACAAACAAAGAATAGTCCTCGTAAGACTGAGCAAACCCGTACTCGAGAAGAGCATTTCGAAGCTTCGAGAACCAACACCTCGGTGCTTGTTTTAAAACCGTATAGAGATTTTCGTAACTTACAAACTTTGTTTGGGTCTGAAGCTTTGAATCCGGGTGGAAGCTTCATGTAACTTCTTCTTCTAAGTCTCCATGGAGAAATGCATTATTGACATCCATTTGATGGACAATCCAATTTTTCGCAGCTGCTACCTTGAGAAACATACGAACCGTAGTTTAATTTCACAACCGGAGCGAATGTTTCTTTATAATCCTTCCCCTCCTTTTGTCGATTACCCATAGCTTCTTCTAAGTCTCCATGGAGAAATGCATTATTGACATCCATTTGATGGACAATCCAATTTTTCGCAGCTGCTACCTTGAGAAACATACGAACCGTAGTTAATTTCACAACCGGAGCGAATGTTTCTTTATAATCCTTCCCCTCCTTTTGTCGATTACCATAGCCACCAAACGCGCCTTATGGCGCTCAATCGTGCCGTCTGAGTTATATTTGATCTTAAAAACAAATCGATATCCAATGGCTGTTTTTCCGGGTGGCAAGTCTTCAATATCCCACGTGTGTTGGTCTTCCAAAGCATCCACTTCAAACTTCACTGCATCGCGCCACACTTGAAGCTGCATTGCTTCATTATACGATTCTGGTTCATGTTCCGCGGAGATGGCGGCCAGAAAAGCTGCGTGGTGAGACGCATTTTCCATACGGGTATCCCATAAAGACGCATTTTCTACTTCGTTCTCCAAATTAGTCTTTATCCCGAGAAATCTTGTGCGCATATCCCAAGCATCCAAAAACTTTCAATCTATCAAACAAAGGCTGCTTTCCATACAATATTTCATAAGGAGTTTTTACCTTGCAACAACGATGTAGGTGTTCGATTTATAAGATGACATGCTGCTAGAACACATTCTCCCCAAAATTTCACTGGCAACAATGCTTGAAACATCAAAGACCGGGCAATGTTGAGAATGTGTCTATGCTTTCGTTCCACATGTCCGTTCTGTTGCGGAGTATACACACATGATGTTTGATGTAGAATGCCCTCTTGTTCAAAGTATCTTCTCATACACGTGAATTCTGTCGTACCGAGCGTACCTTCTTATCAAACTATCGTGTGACCATGGCACAAAATTTCTGCAAACATTTAGATACTTCACGTCTTTCAAGCAATAAATATATCCATACCGCTCGCGATAATCATCAACGATGGTTAGAAAATATGCTGCTCCCGATGTAGATGGAGTACGATAAGCTCCCAAATATCACAATGAATTAAATCAAAAATAACCATTCGCTTTATTATAACTTTCAGAAAAAGAATCCCGAGTTTGCTTAGCTCGATAACAATATCACAGCCTCCGTATGTTTCAACAGAGTTCCCTACATCAAAAATACTAGATAAATAAGATAAAACTCGACCCGAGGGGTGTCCCAACCGTTTGTGCCACAATCACTCAACTCACTTCTACCCGTCACTTTATATTCGCTTGACCCTCCGAAAGTACCCCTGAACTTGTAGACCCCATCGCACTCTTCACCGCCAATCATCATCTTCGAAGTATGGTCCTGCAAAACACACACATCCTTAGTAAACATAAGTCTCCCTTTAGTTGTTTTCAATAATTTCGCCACAGAAATTAAAGAACACGTTAAATCTGGAGAATACAAGACATTATTTAACCATAATTCTCCACTCAAACACATTCGTCCCTGTTTCTCTGCCAACGCCCGATCTCCATCAGGCAATCGAATAGAACACGGTGCTATCGACGTTATATCACTCAAAATATCAATGCCTGAAGTCATATGATGCGATGCACCCGAATCTATTATTATTTCTGTCTTACCAGAAAGTTTTTGCGTCGGATTCCGTTGTTTTCTGATGCTTAAGAAGCTCGATCAAAGTTGTCCTTTGATCATTACTCAAACGGCGGTAGAGAGAGTCGATCGTATCCTCATCACGGCGAGCTGTTGTCGCTGAATTCGCGACGGGTTTGTGCTAAGTGCAGACAATGCCGATCCGAGGACATCCGGATGAGTTTGAGCCACATTAGCACGAGCAAGAGAGCCTCTCCCTCTGCTATAACCACCAACAGCTCCTCCACCTCTTCCAAAACGACCTCTACCACCTCTGTTTCCTCCTCTCACTTCAGCAAAATTCCTTCCTCTCTCTCCCCACCAATCCGGATAACCTTTGATTTGGAAACAATCTGAAATTTCATGGCCATACTTCCCACAGTGAGTACACGTCGTGTCCTTCTCACGATATTGAAATGTCCCCGTCTTGCCTCCTTGTTGTTTTTTGACGCGTTTGAACCGCAAATCCCATCGCGTCTGTTCGTTCTTCTTTGTTACGGGTGATACTTTGTTGTCTCTCATCTCGTACCACCCGCTGATAAACTTGAGACAACTTCAACAGTGGCTCCATGTTGGTAAGTGTGGAGCGAATCCCACCAAATCTCACATCGTCCAATCCCATCAAGAATTGGTGAGTCCGTTCTTCGTCTCTGTCTTGTTCAAGTTGTGCTGCAAGCTCTCCACATGAACATGATCTCAACGGTTGATAAACAGCTAATTCATCCCACATCTTCTTAAGCCTTCCATAGTAGATCATCACACTATCTCCTCTCTGTTTACAATTAGCCAAGTCGGCTTTCAACTCATTAACTCTCGGTCCATTCCCAACAGAGAAGTGAAGTTTCAAGTCTTCCCACAATATGCTTGCATCATCTACAAGCGTTATCGACGTCCGTAAAACCGGAT